GAGCATCCAAACAGACTGGATCCCAAAAATCCAGTATATGCAGAGGAAACAAGTCCCAGTGTCATTGTCAATGGCTTTTCAGAAAGACTCCGGGCCAGCCACATTTAGAGAATCCGACCTCAATCAGAGAATCTGGCTTGATTACGTGCTCGCTCAGTCCCAGACAACTGGCCTAGGTGAACTCTCATTAGATCAGTCCCCTTCTATCAGTGGGTGATCGCACCCCTCGCGGTCCTGATTTCCTTTTTCATGATCTTCCTCCTTCTGCTCCTCGTTTGGACCTTGGGGGACTCAGTCTGGTGCTCCAATGTGGGTCTCCGTCTGTATCGCCATCCCTTGTCAGATGAAGGTTCCCTCTGATCTTGCCTTCCTTGCTCACGTTCTCTTTCCTTCTGCTTCTCGTTTGGACCTAGGGAGTTAAGTCCAGTGTTCCAATGTGGGTCTCTGTCTCCATCTCCATCCATCGTCAGATGAAGGTTCTATGGTGATAAGCAAAATATTCATCAGTATGGTTATGGGCCAAGGCCAGTTCAGGCACCCTCTCCTCTATCCAGAGAACAATCTGGGGATCTCTCCTTGGACCTGGGATCCCATTTATAACCAAGTCTCTAGTAAACCCTAAACTGACTCCCTTAGTTGAGATATATTCTTCCCTGATCCCATATCTATCCTTCCTCCCTCCCCCCTCCCAGTTCCCCGAGCATTCCCCATTCCTCCCCTGTTCCCTTCTCTCTAACCCTCTCCCCTTCCAGCAACCCTCCCACCCCCCAAGCACCCGTGGTTACCTGGGACTCTTGTCTATTTCCAATCTCCAGGAGGAAAACTACCTGAATTTTCTTCAGGTTCACCCTCCTATACAATGGATAATTTTTGGATGTGTTCTTGGATTCGGTTTGTCAATATTTTATTGAGAATTTTTGCATTGATCTTCATGAGTGAGATTGATCTGTTATTCTTTTTCTTGGTTATGTCTTTGTGTGGTTTTGGTATAAGGGTGACTGTAGCTCCATAAAAGGAGTTAGTCAATGACCCTTCTGTTTCTATTTTCGGAAACACATTAAGGAGTGTAGGTATTAACTCCTCTTGGAAGTTCTGGTAGAATTCTTCATTGAAACCATCTGGTTCAGTGCTTTTTATGGTAGGGAGGTTTCTGATGACAGCTTCTAATTCCTTGTGACTTACAGGTCTATTTAAACTGTTCACCTTGTCTTGATTTAATTTTGGTATATAGTACATAGGTGGGTACTTTTATATTAGGGGCTTAGATATTCAGGATAGAGACTTCCTCCTGATGAATTTTTCCTGTCATGAGTATAAAGTGTCCATCTCTATCTCTTCTGATTTTTTTTAGTTTGAAATCAATTTTTTAGATATCAGTATGGCGACACTCACTTGTTTCTTTGGTTTATTAGATTGGAAAACCTTTTCTCAACCCTTTACTCTGAGGTAGTGTCTGTCTTTAAGTATAAGGTGTGTTTCTTGTTAACAGCTGAATGTTGGATCCTGATTTCGTATCCATTCTCTTAACCTGTGCCTTTTTATAGGTAAATTGAGGCCATTGATATTAAGTGATATTAATGACCAGTGGTTATTAACTCCGGTTATTTTTTTCTGGTGGTAGAGTTTGTGTGTTTCCCTTCTTTGAGTTGTGCTGCTGGAGGGTTGTCAGATGCTTGTATTATTATGGGTGTTGTTGGTTTCCTTGGTTTGTGATTTTCTTTCTAGTATTTTCTGTAAGGCTGGATTTTTGGCAACGTATTGTTTAAATTTATTTTTGTCCTGGAATATCTTGTTTTCTTCATCGATGGTGAATGCAAGCTTTGCTGGATATAGTGTTCTAGGCTTACATCCATGGTCTCTTAGTGTCTGCAGTACATTTATCCAAGACCTTCTGGTTTTCATGGTTTCCATTGAGAAGTCAGGTGTAATTCTGATAGGTTTCCCTTTATATGTTACTTGACATTTTTCTCTTGCAGCTCTTAATATTTGTTCTTTATTCTGTATGTTTTGTGTTTTGATTATTATATGGTGAGGGGATGCTTTTTTTTTTGATCCAGTCTACTTGGTGTTCTGTATGCTTCTTGTACCTTCATAGAAATATCCTTCTTTAGGTTGGGAAAGTTTTCTTTTATAATTTTGTTGAGTATATTTTCTGGGCCTTTGAGTTGTAACTCTTCTCCTTCTTCTACCCCTATTATTCTTAGATTTGGTCTTTTCATGGTGTCCCAGATTTCTTGGATGTTTTGTGTTAAGAATTTGTTGGATTTGTTTTGTTCTTTAATCAGTGAGTCTATTTCCTCTGTAGTATCTTCAGTGTTTGAGATTCTTTCTTCTATCTCTTGTATTCTGTTTTTAATATTTGTCTCTGTAGTTCCTGTTCATTTACCCAGATTTTCTATATCCAGCCTTCCCTTGGTTTGTGTTTTCTTCATTACCTCCATTTCATTTTTCAAGTCTTGAACGGTTTACCTTACCTGTTTGATTGTTTTTTCTTGTTTTTCTTGGGTATCTTTGAGAGATTTATTAATTTCATCTACCTTTTTGTTTGTCATTTGTATTTCTTTATGGCAGTTTTTCACCTCCTGTTTAAGGTCCTCTAATATTTTCATAATGTTCCATTTAAGGTTGATTTCTTCTATACCTTCTGGAGTAGCGTGTTCAATTCTTCTTGTTTCGTGATCCCTGGTTTCTGGTGATGTCATGTTGCCTTTCAGGTTGTTGGAGGAATTCTTTCATTGGCGCCTGCCCATCTCTTCCTTCAGATAAGGCTGTCAGTGTCTTTGCATCTTTGTCCAATCCTTGTTGTGGCTGTCTGAGTTGGGAAGTCTTTTTTGATCTGTTCTGTACTGTCAGTGTCTATCTCAGAATGCCTCTGAGGTGTCTATATACCTCATCTCTTGGTATTCTCTCCTGATTTGCTCTTTTGGTGCTCTCTCTTAATTCCCCTCAGTATTGTAGCATACTCTTGGTCCTCTCAGTATTATAACAAGCTCTCAGCTCTTAGGTTTGGTGTTATTAGTAGCTTGCAGTGCCTAGTTGATGGGTTCATGTTTTGGGGGAACCTAGCTGCAGGAAACTCCCTGCTGACTGGCTAGAAAAGTTGAAGGAATTGGGAAACAAACCCTGGGTTTTGTCCCACTGGACAGGTCATGGAGAGTGGGGAGTCTGGCCGTGTGACTGTTCACTCATTTCTAGGTCCCCTCAGTATTGGATCAAGTTGTGTTTTAGAGTTATACAAAGATTGCAGGAGAATAGGTGGGTTGGGGCAGGCTATAGCTAGTAGTAGGATGGCCAGTGGATGGGTTGGGCTAAAACTTAGCTTCAGAAAACTCCCTGCTGGCTGGCTAGAAAAGCCAAGAGAGTTGGAGAAGTGCCCCTGGATTTTGTCCCACTGGGGAGTTCCTAGAGAGTGGGATATCCAGCCATGAGGTTGTTCACTCACATCTTAAATCCCCTCAGTATTAAGGATCCTTTCTGAATAGTTATCTTTTCCTCCCTAATCATTCAAATTTCCAGGGTTTCTTGACTTTCTGAAGATGTGTATTTTCCAGTAAAGACAAGAACAGAACTCTGCTTCAACCTTTATGAGATTTCCTTACCACCTGTATGATTGTCACTCCTGTGGATGAGCTTTCTTTTCTCTGTTTCAAGAGGTTTTTCCTTTTCAAATAAAATCTTTATTAATTTTGATGATATCCATAACTTTTCATCTCCCGTGGAAACAAGAGAAAAACCCTTCCTTAATGTAGAACACCTTCTTATTTCCATTCTGATGTCAACACATTCTTGAAATACACCAGCTGATATAATTCAGAAGTCTTTTCTATTATCCAATGTCTCTCTGCTGTCATTATTCCTTTCTCATTAGCATTAAGAAAATTCTAGGTTAATATAGCATTATGCAATCTATTTCTGAGGGTGGTATGGGAAGTCCTGTGTATATGTTGCTTTTATTGGTTAATGAAAAAAACTGTTTTGATCAGTGGCTTAGAAGAAGAGGGCAAAGTGGGGATTCCAAGCAGATAGGGAGGAGAGTAGGCAGAGTCACTATGTAGCTATGTAGAGGAGAAAGATGCTATGTAGCCACTAGAGGAGAAAGATGCGAGTGGCCAGCTGGATCCTTGCTGGTAGGCTGTGACCATCATGATAAAATATAAAATAATAGAAATAGGTTCACTTAAGATATAAGAGTAAGTCAGAAATATGCTTAAGATATTGACCAAGCAGTGATTTAAATAAATAAGATTAGATAATGAAGAATAAACTTGAAATGGGGGCATCAGAAGAAAGTGACCTCAGAGAAGGGGTTCATGTTTCATAACCCAAATCCTCAGTTTAGTGTCTCATAGATAATGATGTCTTATGCATTGCTACATACAGTATAAGTCAAAGAATTTCTGGATTTGACCTGATTATTTGAGCCTTATACAATGGACACCTGGGATAATATTTGGTTATTTGCTCTCTTTGTCTGGTGTATGGATCACACTGCTAATGCTCTATGGAGGGTGGATATTGTACAAATGAAGCTTATATTGTCTGATTTGTACTTGGGAATAGAACATGCAGTGAGTCCACCTGAGTTCTGATTGTCATGGGTCTTTTCTGCTGACATTATTTCTAAAGGTATTCAAGAAAGCAACTTGTTGACGCTGGCTTGGGCTCAAACTGTGGAACATCGCTTTTTCCCATGGGTCTCAATGTTCAGGGATATAAGTGATGTCATGGAATTGAGGCTGAAATGTCCTCAAGTGTATTTTCCAACTTATTTTTTTTTAACCTCAGTGGGAACCTCAGTTGCAGAGCCCAGTGTCAGAGATTATTTGACATTTCCCCAGGTTAGTGGAGCCAACTGTAGAGAAAAACATCTCAACCACACAGGTGACCTTTCCAACTGGCAGCAGACATAAAAGCAGGTGTGTATACATGGCTATTCATTTGATCAACTGATCTGCATCCAGAGTCTACACTACCAGCTGAGAGTTTGAAGGCAGGACCCGATGCTCACTTTGAGTTTCTTCTTCTGGCTGCTGAGCATCCCCCTTCTCATGTCCAGTTTCACTCACCCAAAGTGCTTTTGGAGAATGAAGCAGAATGAAGACAAGGATGGAGATGTGGTGACAGGTTGTGTCTTTTTCCTTGCTGCAGTGCAGAGCCCAGTGGAGAAAGAGCATTTTGACTCTATTTTGGATGTTCAGTAAGTACATTTGTATTTTCATGTACATGTCATGATAAATAATTCATGAAAGGTTTGTGGATGAGCCAAGCAATACTAAGTCTTTTTTCCTGTTCCCCAACCTTAACAACAAGTACCGACCCAAAATAAATTTTGGTTTTTAATAATCACTGTTTCTCCACTATCAAACAGTAAGACTTTTAAATTTTTCTTCCAATTAGCCTTCAGTTACAAGACTGAAAGCTGAGTGAAAAGAGCATTCTTTACCTTGATCCATCATAGATAGCCTTCCTTACCACAGGTGCTATTGTGAGGCATCCAGTGGTGTCCTACAAAAAGAAGCCCCAGACTACTTCAGTGAGTTCAGTAGTCACAAGGTGCATTCAAGTCTCTTCCAGCATCTGCTGATGTCACTGCAATCAGTGTGTGATTCCTAGCTCAGATGCAGGGCCACTATTGTTTGTGCCACTCCTCACTGGGGGGAGTATCCATGGTAATAAAAAATGCTAAGACAGCTTGAATCATTCTGTCCCATTCTTATCCCCAAAATGGTTGACACAGATGCCCTTATCTTGTTCCTGGCTTTAGCAGAAATAGCTACAGTTTCTTTCTGTTTATTACATTGTTGGCTCTTTGTCATAAATATTATTACAGTGTTGGTATATATTTTAGCTTGTTCTATTGCTGTTATAAAACACTGAACAAAAGAGACTTGTATAGGAGATGCTTTACCTTGCTTTCATGTCCTTATCACAGTCCATTACTGAAGGAAGACAGGTCAGAAACTCAAGCAAGAGCAGAGGACGATACCACAGAGGAATACTGCCTACTGGCTTGCTCTTCATTGCTTGCTCAGCTTGCTTTCTTATACAACACAGGTCTATTTGCACAATGATGGTATGACCCACAGTGTGTTGGACCTTCATACATCACAATCAGTAAAGGCCTCATCAGACATGCCTGAAAGCCAGACTGATGGTGATCAGTTTCCCCAAAAGACTCTCTATTCAAAGATATATCTGTGTTTATTCTAGTTCATAAAAATTTTCTAGTACAATGTAGTATCCTTTTAGTTCTTCCTATTTTGGGGCATTTGTCTCAAAGAGAGGTTGAATTTTTGTCCAAAGTATTTTTTTTTTGCATCTAGCCAGCTGTTACTGTGATTCCTTTCTTAAGTCATTTAAGTGATACATTACATTTATAGATTTCCCTATCTTGAACCATTCTTGCATCTCTGGAAAGAAGCCAACAGGATTATCATGAATGATTTCATCTAACCTGTTCTTTTTGTTTTGTTTTTCAAGACAGGATTTCTTAGTATCCTTGAACTTACTCTGTAGACCAGGATGGCTTAGAACTCAGAGATCTGCCTACTTATGCATCCTGAGTGCTGGGATTAAAGGCATATGCCACCACCAACTGGCATAATGTGTTTTTAATTTGTTTTAGAAGAGGTATATTAAAAGACTTTAAATAGCTGGGCATGGTGGAGCATGCCTATAATCTCAGCAGTCTGGAGGAAGATGTAGGCAGTCTCTGGTGAGTTCAAGACCAGCTTTATCTATATAGTGAGTTCCAGGATGGCTAGGGAGACATAACTGACCCTATCTCAAAAAGATAAAAGAGTGTTAATATATGTTCATATAAATTTTGTTTTGTATGAATTTTATTTGGATGTTAGACTGGCACTGCCTTCAGAACTATATTTGGATGGTACTTCATCCATTTCTGTTGAATGGAATAATTTAATAGCATTGATGTTAGTTTTTGAAAGAGCCATTTGTGCCCAGCAGGGACTACTACTAGTCTGGCAGACTTTTGTTGGAAGATTTTTTTTATAACTGTTTCAATCCCAGTCCTTATGGTAGATTTTCTAAAAGTGTTTGCCACATCTTGGTGTAAATTTTCTGCCAGATATATAATGAAAACATAACAAGAATGACGTTCAAACAGTTCTCAAAAATAGAAAGGAAAGTAATACAAACAATGACATTTTAGAAAGTCCATATGCCCCTGACACCAAAACCAGATAAGGAATCATCAAAACAATAAAAAAGGAAAAGGAAATAGACAAATATCACTGGTGAATCTAAATCAAATATTTTCAAGAAAATACATGCAAACCAAATTCAACTATGTAACAGCAAGTTCATTTACTGTGTACTAAGTGGTTTCATTCCAGAGTTGGAAAGGTTCTTTGACATAAAAACTCAGTCAGTGTAATAGACAACTTTAATAAACAAAGGCAGAAATTGCATGATTATCTCAACAGATGCAGAAAAGGCATCTGACAATCTACAGCATCTCTAAAACACTGGGAATAGAAGGAAAATATCTCAGTGGGATGAAGGTTGCATATGACAAACCCATGCCTAGCATTACATCAAATGGAGAAAAACTGATAACATCCATTGAAACATGGAAGGAGGGAAGATGCTCACTCTTATGTCTGAAGTATAAGGCAAATTATTTCACCAGCAGATGGTGAACGTGTACATGAGATGATCAGCACCCCTGAGTGTTTCTTAGATCTAATGAATACCATCAGCAAAATAGGAGAAAATGAAACCAAGACACAAAATATCCTTTCTATACAAGGAATGGTGATACTGAGAAAGAAATCAAGAAAGCAACCCCATTTACAATAACCTCCCCACATAAAAATATCTGGGAATAAACGCAACTCAAGAGTCTTCATGGTAAAAATTTTATAGCACTGAGGAAAGAAAGAAGACAATGGAAGATGAAACTATGTGACATGTTGATGGGCTGGCATGATCAGCATTGTAAATTAATACTTGGTTACATTACAAAATTAATCTAAGATTGTATGCAATATCCATGAAAACTTAACTAAAAACATAATTAGGCAAACAAAGGCCAAATATTAAAATAGAAAAACAGCCACCAGGTAGGCCAGGCAATGGTTAGTAAAAAGAACAATGCTAGACGAATTATGATTTATGTGCCTCATTTATAAACTAGCACTTTAGCATCAGAGGACCAAAGTGTTGACACTATATTTCAACAAACCCATAATTCATAGGTGAATCCAACTGATCTTTGACAAAGGTTTCCAAACATCCAATGGAGAAGAAACACCCTACTTATCAAATTCTGGTAGGACACTAGACATAGGGGATTAGTACCTAGAATGCATAAAAACTAAAAACTTATCATCAAGCAAACACTAACCAAATTCAAAATGGGATACAGAATTAATCAGTGAATTCTCAGAAGATGAAACACAAATGACTGAAAAATACTTAAAGAAATAATTCTTAGCCATCACAGAAGCACAAATAAAAACTACTTTGAGACTTTCTTTAACACCACTCAGAATGGCCAGGTTTAATAATACTAATGACGGTGCATGCTGGTGCAGATGTGGGGAGAGAAGAATACTTATTGGTTGCTTGTGAGAGTAAAAATGCATGCAGCCTCTATGGAAACCAGTGTGGCAATTCCTCACGAAGTTGTGAATGTATTTACTTCAAGGTCCAGCTATAATACTCTTGGGCACATACCCAAAGTATTCTATATTTTACTATACAGATACTTGTTCACCATTTTCAGTCTTGCTCTATTTATAACAGTTGGAAATTGTAATCATCCTAGAAGTTTATCAATTGAGGAACAGATAATGAAGTCATGGTACATTTGAACTACGAGTTTTTGTTTCAGTTGGAAAAATATTTTAAAAAGGAATTTCTGAATAGAGGGAGAGACCCATAGCCAGACGTTAGGCTGTGCTTGGAGAATTTTGGAGAGAGAGGGGAAGGAGTGTAGGATCCAGAAGGCTCAGAGAGATCATTAGAAAATCCACAGAAACAACTAACTTGAGCTGATAGGAGCTCACAGAGACTGAACAAATAACCAGAAAGTCTGCATGGGACTGACATAGGTTCTCTGCATATATGTGACAGTTGTGTAGCTTGCTCTCCTGTGTGTTTTCTAATAGTGGAATTAGGGGTTGTCTCTGACTTTTGTTGGCATATGGAATCGTATTCTTCATTCTGAACTGCCTTGTTCAGCCTTTCTATATGGGGAGGTGCTTAGTCTTATTGTTACTTGATATGCCATGTTTTGTCAATATCCACTGGAAGCCTGCCCTTTTCAGAATAGAATAGGAGTAGGAGTTGATGAGGTGGAGGAGGAGTAGAGATAGCAGAAGGGACTAGGAAGAGAGGAGGTAAGGGAAACTGTGGTCAGGATGTAAAATAAATAAATAAAATAATATTTGTTTTAAAGAATGGAAGAATACTGAAATCCACAGGTAAACATTGGAAATAGTAAAAATCATCCCGAGGAAGGTAACAAAGATCCAAAAAGAAAAAGACAATTATATATTTTCTTTTACATGTGGATATTATTTTATAAATCTTTGGTATGTGTGTCATCTAAATAACCACAAAAGTTAAGTTTCTAGTAAGGAATGGGAGGGGGAGATCTAGCTTGGAGGGGAAAATGGAATATATTGTTATTGAGAGACACAGTGTAAAGTAGAATTAGAAGATTAAGTAGGGAGGAAATGGTAAAGAGTGATAAATGTGTGTATTGTAGAAGGACAACTAACACAAAGGTCAATTGAAAACCATATGGAAACCTACTACTTTGAAATTTTCTAAAGTATTTACACAAGTGAAGGAAGTCTAAATAGAATCACCAGATAAAGGGGGAGACAATGCCCCAACTATTCATTTTCTGCATCAAAAATTTATCTAGTGACAGGAATGGGTTATATATCTTGTCAAATCTTTGACCAGAGGGTCTCCATGGACACAATAAAACATGATAGGCTATTACCAAGGCTATGAATTACTCTCCATAAGTTTTTGGTAAGGCTTTTTTTGAAGAAGACACCATCTATATAGTTCAATGAATATGAATATGAAGAAGTTGAGCTGGTGCTTACCTAAAGCCTTCATCACCATCACTGACTTCCATTGTTGGGACTGGAAGGTAGTCTGCATTCTACCAGAGGAGAAAAGTATCCACCAATCCAACTACAGATTCATCAATCTACAGTAGTGGTCTGCTTGCATAATACACAAGTGCAATAATGACATAAATATTAGGCATATAACCAGCCACTTTCAGACTGGATTTAAAGTCCACTTCATGAAATGGAACTCATACTTGACATGGCTGGAGTTTTCATGAACCTGAGACTAAATATGTCAAAGACATAGGGGAAATTTAGAACTACTATTCTGTTTAAGGAACACAGCAATAAATTAAATAATAATGACATACTGCTATGTTCATTGATCAGTGTATCACTCAACTCTCACCAGGGAAAATTCTTCTTGTAGTATATGAGAACTAACATAGAATTTCACAACTGCACAGTGTGCAGAGAGTGAGGAATTTTGGATCACATTGTCCTCAGTGAAATGACCTCATCAACACCTTCAACTCAAGGCTCAGAAACTTATGTGGAAGAGGATAGTCAGTAGTGATGGAAAACTCCAAGGAAGCAGTGAATTCCAGACACAATAGCACTGATGCTTATATAAGCTCACCCAGACTGTGTGAGCACACACAAGGCCTCTTCATGTACAAATGGTACAGGTTCAGATGGTGTCTCATGATTGAGAGAAACAAGTGGACAGCAGCTCTCACCCCTAAAGAAGAAGTTTTGTGAAAACTGATACCTGCTTGCAAAGGGAAAATCTGTTTGCTCCAGTGGAGTCTCACTGATTGTATTTGATGTACTTCATAACCAATTCCGTGCACAGGAATAATGTATGGACTGAATTTTTGTAGAATTTTGTCTTATTTTGCTTCCCTTGTGTTTCTCTTGTCTATTTGTTTTATCTTTTTCATATTTATCATATTTTTATTTATGTCAAGTGTTTACATCCTACCAAAGCTTCCTCTTCCTACTCTCTTCTCAGTTCCCTCCTCTATCTTCCACCCCTCCAATTCACTCGCTCTCCATTGTTTATCTTCAGAAAAATGTGGGTACCCCATGGATACCAGTAAGCCATGGCATATCAAGTTGCAGTGAGACCAGTGGAACCACTGGGAGTGGTATGTGAAATCTCACTATTTTGCATACCACTTCCAGTTTGCTCTCCCTCTCATCTTCCCACTCCTCACTTCTCCCCACCTCACCCCACCTGCCATCCACTCCTATGAGAGAGTGAGGCCTCCCATTGGGAGTCAACAAAGTCTGCCGCTTCACTCGAGGAAGAATCAAGGCCTCCCCCTGTATCTAGACTGAGCAGTGTATCCCTACAGAGGGAATAGGCTCCAAAGAGACAGATCATGCACTAGAGATAAATACTGGTTCCTATTTTTGATAGGATACTATCCTTTGTTTGATAAATACTAACAAAGTGCCCATGCCATGCAATTGTCACCCACATTCAGAGGTCCTAGTTTGGTCTTATGCTTGTTCCCCAGCTGTCAGTCCAGGGCTAATGAGCTCAAGTCAGCTGTTTCCAGGCGTTCCCATCATTTTCTTAACCCCTTTGTTCATAATATCACTACTCCTTCCCTGTGACTGAACTCTAGGAGTTCAACCCAGTGCTTATCTGTGGATTTATGCATCTGTTTCTATCAGTTACTGGACAATTAAGGTAGTCATCAATCTGATTACAGGGGAAGGGCATTTTAGGTACCCTCTCCACCATTGCTTAGATTCTTAGCTTGGGTCATTGTTGTGGTTTCCTGGGAGTTTCCCTAGTGCCTGGTTTCTCTTTAACCCTACAGAGGCTCCCTCTTTCAAGGTATCCCCTTTCTTGTTCTCCATCCTTGTCTTTTACTCAACTCAATCTTTCCAGACTGTCATGTTCTTCTCCCTGCTCTCCTTCTCCCCTCCCTGTTCCCCTACCACACATTCCCCTTACTCACATGCTGCCAGTTTACTAAGGCGATCTTGTCTGCTTCCCCTTCCAAGGGATCCATGTATCTCTCTCTCAGGATTCTTCTTTGAGGGTTCCTGTCTTCTATGGGGTTGTGGACTATAGGCTTATTATTCTTTGTTTTATGTCTAATGTCTACTTATGAGTGAGTAAATACTGTTTTTGTCTTTCTGTGCCTGGGTTACCTCACTCGGAATGTTTCTTTTTCTTTAGTTCCATCCATTTGCCTGCAAATTTCAAGATGCTATTGTTTTTTTTTTATATCACTGAGTAGTACTCCATTGTGTAAATGTACCACTTTTTCTTTATCCATTCTTTGGTTGAGGGCCATCTAGGTTCTTTCCAGGTTCTGGCTATTATGAATAATGCTGCTATGAATATAGTTGAGCAAGTGTCCTTGTGGTATGGGTCTGCATCCTTTGGGTATATGCCCAAGAGTGATATTGCTGAGTCGTGAGGTAGCATGATTCCCATTTTTTTGGAGAAATTACCATACTGATTTCAAAAGTGGTTGTTTAAGTTTGCACTCCCACCAGCAATGGAGGATTGTTCCCCTTACTCTGCATCTTCTCCAGTATAATCTGTCATTAGTGTTTAGCCATTCTGACTAGTGTAAGACGGAATATCAAGAGTTATTTTGATTTCCATTCCCCTGATGGCTAAAGATATCGAGTAGTTCCTTACATGTCTTTTGTTTATTAGAAATTCCTTTGTTGAGAGTTCTCTGTTTAGATCTGTACCCTGTTTTGTAATTAAATTTGTTATTTTGTTATCTAGTTGCTTGAGTTCTTTTATATTTTGAAGATCAGCTCTCTGTCAGAGTAAGGCAAAAGATAGCCTACAAGTGGATGGAAAATTATCTACTGGCTATACTAGACTGAAGCATGTCTAGAATATATAAAGAAGTAATAAACTAGGGCTGTAGACATGGGTCAGCACTTAAGAGCATTTATTGTTCTGTCAAAGAACCCGAGTTCAGTTTTAACCACTCATGTTGGCAGATGCCTCAAAACTACTTACAATTCCAGCTGTGCAAGATCCAGATTCTACTTCTGGCCTCCATGAGAACTGCATTCTGAAGTGCACATACAGATAAATACACATATCTTTTATCAAATGCACACCCAGTACTTATAGAGCAAAAGTGAAATTCTCTTGTCAAGGTTGACAAGAACACATTTCTCATTTTTATAACATCCACTCTCATCAAATTTTTATGTTTTCACAAGCTCCCAAGAATCTTGTGTCTTTCCCACCTTACAGCTCCAGGGAATTTGTTGAGTTTTATCTGAAAATGACATTGAATGCAGAATAGTCCTTGCATTAACTACAAAGCTTTCATCCACACAGCCTTATCCATAATTAACCCTGTGTCCTTATTTTCAGAATACCAACTCAAAATTATCAGTTTGTTCTGCCCTTGGGTTTTGCTGTGGAAGAAATCAACAGAAATCCATATCTTCTACCAAATGTGTCTCTAATATTTTACTTCTTCACTAACAATTATGGTGGTAAAAAGGCTTTTCAAAATTCCATAAATTTTGCTGCAAAAAGACATAGTCTTCTCCCTAACTACATCTGCGAAGATGAGACCAAATGTGAAGTAGTGATTACAGGACCAATGTTAGCAACATCTGTGAGTTTGACATCATTTTTGCAGCTCTACAAATCTCCACAGGTGAGGCTGTTTGGGTGGGGACATCTGGAATCTTTCTTCTTAGTTGGCATAACCTGATGTTAAGGAGAGTATAAGGGGTGGTGTGGGAGTTTTTCTGTATATGTGTCTCTTTTATTGTCTAATGAATAAAGCTGCTTTCGGTAAATGGCTTAACTGAGTATAGCCAGGTGTGAGATCCAAGCAGAGATGTAGAGAGAGAGAGAGAATAGGCAGAGTCATTGAGATGTCATGTAGCTGCTGCAGAAGACAGACTCACAGGAACCTTGCCAGTAAACCATGAGATTCGAGGTAAAATATAAAATAATAGAAACGGGTTAATTTAAGATGTAAAAGCTAGCTAGAAATGTGCTTAAGCCATTCGCCAAACAGTATCGCATTTAATATAGTTTCTATGTAATTACTTAGGGTCTGGAAAGTCAGGAACAAAAGAATGACCTATGACTACAAAGGGGGAGATGAACTTCACATTCATGTAAATCCATGTAGCTCAAAAGTAATTAATCAGGAACTCAATGAGACACTCACACTTAATTGTTTGATAAATAATTGAGAAGAAGAATTAAAAGTCAATGGCATTTTTCTTGAACAATTTGTAGAAAAGTGATTTTGCAGGTTCCTGGTAGTGTAGTTTAACTGTAATAATATGGAAAACTTGGTCTTCCTGTCATTTCAAACTTGTGTTTTACACACTTCAGGATTCCACTGAGATTTCTGACAATTCTCTATCTCATGATATTCGTTGTGTTTTATGTCCTCCAGCTCACCTATGGACCTTTCAATCCTATCCTGAGTGATAGTGAACAATTTCCCTATCTGTATCAGATGGCCTCCAAGGACACATTTCTAGCCCGGGCCATGGTCTCTTTGATCCTTCACTTCAATTGGAACTGGGTTGGTCTGGTCATCTCAGATGATGACCAAGGTAACCAATTTCTCTCAGATCTGAGAGGAGAAACTGAAGCCAAAACAGTCTGCTTAGCCTTTGTGAGCATGATCCCAGCCAACACACATTTATACATGTCAAGAGCAAAAGTGTATAACAACCAAATCATGACATCATCCACAAATGTTGTTATCATTTATGGTGATACAGACAGTACTCTAGCTGTGTGTTTTATAATGTGGAAATTTCAGGGTATACAGAAACTATGGATCACCACCTCACAGTGGGATGTCATTACAAGTAAGAGAGACTTCACCCTTGACTCATTCCATGGGACTTTTGCTTTTGCACACCACCATGCTGAGATTTCTGGTTTTAAAAATTATGTTCAGAGATTGAACCCTTCCAAATATACAAACATTTTCCTGGCAAGACTGGGATGGATGTACTTTAGCAATGAAGCCTCAACATCTAGGTGTAAGACACTGGAGAACTGCTCATTGAATGCCTCACTTGAGTGGTTAAAGCTACAAAGGTTTGACATGGCCTTGAATGATGACAGCTATGATGTATATAATGCTGTGTATGCCATGGCCCATAGCCTCCATGAGATGCTTCTTCATCAAGCAGAAAATCAGCCAATCAACAGTGGGAGAGCACTGGATTCTGATTGCTCAGAGGTGCAGTGACTTCCAATGGATGGTATTTGATGTCATCAATGTTATATTCTTTAAGAGTCTCTCACCAAGAAGCTCAAATCAAGGAGCCTAAGAAAATCTTTCCCAACATATACAAATTTCTGAACACTTCTTTTTCTGCTAAGAAAGTAAATCCAGCTGTGCTTAAAAACCTTTAGACAAAGGCAGTGGAGTTGAAAACAGAATTTTTCTATGATAATTGGGGATTTGTTACAGATTACCTCAACATTGTCATACCTGTTCCAACATCACAAACAGAATCAGTCCTTTTTTCATAAAATTCTTCCAAGATGAGACCTTGCTCTTTTATTTTGTTTTGGGAACAGTGTTTCACTATGTAGCTCTGGATCTCCTGAAACACTATATATTTGAGGTTGGCATTGAACTCAGAGTTCTACCCACCTTTGCCTCCTGACTGCTGGGTTTAAGGGACTGTGCTACCACACCCAGCTGTGACATTCTTCTTCAGTTGTCATATGTATTGTGGTCACTATAGGAAATGGTTTACATAAGTATCCTCATTTGAATCTGACCACACTGTTGCCACAGAGAACCCTATTCTCTTGATTCTCTGAGAGTAATAATAGGAAATAGTGCTGAATTTCAGTTCAAAATCTATCTGTATGCCTGTGTGCATGAGTATGTTTATATATCTAATATTATGTATGTCTTTTTATATGTTTCTATTTATATATACTGTGTCTTTGTGAATGTCTATATTTATTTCTGTGCCTATGTATGTGTGTGTCTATATATGTGTTAATGTGCATGTATGAGTATCTTTCTATTGTGTGTGCTTGCCTGTGGATATAAACATATATTTATTGAGTGCACATATCTTTTCATGAATGTTTGTATCTGTTTATCTCTGTTGTGTTTTGTGTATGTGTTTGTTTCTATATGTGCCTTGTGTGTTTTGTGTCAGGGTATTTGAGTGCTTATATCTGTATATATGTGTGTGGTAGTGTATATATGTGAGTGAGCTGGTATGTATGTGTGTAACATGAGGGCCGGCTTGTTGGGGTTTCTGTCCCCAACAAATGGACTATGGATATTTTTCTTTGTTTAAAAAAAAAAAAAGAGGGGGAAGTGGTGCGCGAGAATTGTCTGTATTCTGTCAATCATATTTTAAATAAATACTGATTGGCCAGGCAGGAAGTATAGGCCGGAAAACCAGACAGGAAGTAGAGGTGGAGCAAGGAGAATGGGAGTATTCTGGGAAGCAGGAAGCTCCCTTGGCAGTCCAGCCCAGACCACCAAAGAAGCAACATGTGACCTGCCCCACTGTGAAAGGTACCAAGCCATGTGGCTAACATAGATAAGAATAATGGGTTAATATAAGCTACAAGAGCTAATAAGCAGCCTGAGTTAATGCCCCAATCAGTTTTATAACTGATGGAGATCTCTGTGATTTTCTTTGGGGCTTGCTGGCTGTGGGGTACCAGGCAGAATAGAAACCCCAACAAGCTGACCCTCGTGTTACATATGTGTATGAATGAGTGTGGCTGTATTATGTATGTGCCTGTGCATGGGTACTTGTGTGGAAGTGTGTGTATGTGTCTGTATGGTGCACATTTATGTTTCATGTTTATGTGCATTTCTGTGTTTCATGATTTCCTTAGAAAGAACTAAAATTCTAGGAACACAATAATTTTATTTATTCACATACTTTCATTGAGTTTTCTCCCTTGGGCATCTTTAGTAAAGTCACATTAAGATGAAATCAGAACAGATTTTCTGACTTAAAGAAAGGTTATATAGACCATTGAATATTGCCTATCTTTCAGTTTCACGTATTTCTGAAGAAAACTCACTTTATTAATCCTGTTGGAGATGCAATAGATATGAATCAGAAAGAAAAACTGCAGGCCAAGTATGGCATTTACCATATTTGGAGTTTCCACCATGGTGTTGTACTTAAGGTGAAAATAGGAGAGTTTAACCCATATTTTCCACATGGTCAACAGCTCCATTTATCTGAAGATATGCTAGAGTGGGACACAGGAATTAGACAGGTGGGTCTGACCTAATTCTACTTATATACACTATACTTGTAACCACTGTCAAGTGGGGCCATTTGGGCTTCCCTATGACTTAGTGAAATTAGGTGGATGGTCATGTAAAGACTCAATTTTAGACTTCTAGATCAAGTTTCTTCTCTTCACTTTTTAAAAATACGATATTTTTAGTAATTCTTTGAAAATCTAAGGTGTGTACATGATGCACTTTTATATCAGAAACTCTCTGATTTGTAAACAAATATAAAACTAGATGTGACCAATGTTTGGTATTATTTCCAGTCAAGTTATCAATTATTCTCTTAGTACCATTTTGATTACTGTTCTTTGCTTTTCTTCTCTTCTGCTGAACCTCTCAGTTACATACTGAAAAGACTGAAGTTATTTGAAAGGAAAGATTTGGAACAAAGAACAGATATGCAAGACATTAATTTATATTATATAATTTTATTCAAGTGCTTTGACCAGGAGGTCCTAAATTTCTAACTTCTCTAACAATACATTAGCATTTTCATGGTCCACCTAGATGTTTCATTAATTACAATTGTGTTTTAGGCTTTGTATGTATATGAATATTTTGCCTGCATGTATCTATGTTCCATATGAGCATGAGGTATCTGAGGATGCCAGGAGAGGGATTAAGATTCCCAGGAATTGAAGACAATTTTGAGTTTAAATGTAGGAATTGGGGACTGAACAGCAGGTACTATTGATTGCTGAGTCACCTCTCCTCCCCTAATTCACAGCTTCTAAAGGGGTCCCTCACTAGAAGAGCATTTCTTTTTTTGCACCTCAATTCTTTTATAACTCATTCAAATAATCAAAGAAATAAAAAGGATTTGTTTACTTATTTGGTCAAATAGGTGCTTATAGTCATAAAAATTTTTTCTTTGAGGAAATTTGTGAATAAAATATACCATTATATGTCCCTGGGCATATTACAGGTATAGAATATGATGTGTCTGGCTTTATGGTATCTGAACTACCTTACCTACTACAATGCTGTGGGTTGAAATTTGAAAGGCTTTAACTTTAGGAAAGTCTGCAGACTTAATCTGAAGTTTATCTCAGGTTGTTCAAATAGAGTTAAATCATCAGTTAATATTCTATTTTTACAGTGATGAAAAAAGTATACTCAGAGAACAGAACAAGTGGGCTGAGTGTTTAGCTACTGAACTGTATAACCAGATCAGAGAAGAGCAATGAAATCACAAGTCTGCTTCTACCAGGACTAACTTGAACATTATAAAAACATCAACCATAAAGATAGGGAAGACTAAAAACAATCCAGCGTGTGCTACACTCCACATATGCAAATAACAGTGCAGAGACAAATGCTAAAGTGACAGGGAGTTCAGTGACATATCAAACAAAGACTTCAAAGAATAATAGTAAGAAAGTTCCAGAAAATTAGCCTGGTGGTGGTGGTGGCACATGTCTTTAATCCCAGAAGTCAGGAGGCAGAGACAAGTAGATCTCTATGAGTTCTTGGCCAGCCTAGTCTAAAAGAGCTAGTTCTAGGACAGGTATCAAAGCTACACAGAGAAACCCTGTCTCAAAAATCAAAACAAAACAAAACAAATGGTAATATAAATGATGTGTTTCAAGCAGTTAGAGACAAAACTCCAACTTCAGTTACTATAACCAGCAAAGCTGTCTTTCATGACTTAAAAAAGATGGAAAAACTTGTAATGGTGAACATAAAGTACAGGATATATAGCTACCAGAACAGTACTGTGGAAGATACTTGAAGAACTCCTTCACATCGAATACTAAGATAAACACTAGAGGCCACAGGAATGTATAAACTATAATAGACCACTAGACAGAAAAACAAAGGTTAGAAATGTATCAAAACTTACAAAGCACAAATTCAGAAATGGGACCAGGTGTGCTGGTGCTTCACAGAACCAATGAGCAATTCAGAAATCACTTCACCAATGTGAGATGAAGCTATTTTTACAATGAAGTTTCACTTTGTCTTTTGTGAGTCTGTTTTGTATCAAGCTGACAAAAATAAACAGCAAATGTGTGTGGAGAGTGTACAGTTCAGGCATTACAGTAGTCATACATCTATTGCTAGGTCTTCCTGAATTTTCAGTAGTTGGGAAGCACTCATTATTTCATCAATTTGTTTTCATATATTTATGTGTGGCTATTGAGGAGTAGGCAAACTCCTGACTTGCCTGAATTTCTTCAGATGCCCTCCTCTCTGTGCAGTGTTGATTGCCATCCTGGATTTAGAAAATTCCATCGGGAGGAAATGGCAGCCTGCTGTTTTGATTGTACTTCCTGCCCAGAAAATGAGATTTCCAACGAGACAGGTAAATAATTACTGCAGAGAGAAATCTCCCAGATTGACTTTCTTTCTCTGTCCACATTGTGACATTGAAGGGGCCTGGAAGGGACCTGCACTGATGTGTAATATCACCAGAGAAGACTACTCAAACATAGGTTTAAGCCAAATAATGTATTTTATTGATTTTTTATTGATATTTTATTGAGCTCTACATTTTTCTCTGCTTCCCTCCCTACCTCTTCCTTCACTTTCAACCCTCCCCCATGCTTCCAATTTACTCAGGAGTTCTTGTCTTTTTCTACTTCCCATGTAGATTAAATCTATGTAAGTCTCTTTTAGTGTCTTCATTGTTGCCTAAGTTTTCTGGGATTGTGATTTGTACACTGATTTTCTTTGCTTTATGTTTAGAAACCACTTATGAGTGAGTACATGAGACTTTAGCATGACTTACCCTGACAAATAATGTCTTTATTGGCTAGCTGTCAACTACACTGTGTGTTCAGAACCCCAGTGCAGTACTGAGCTTTTCTCAGGGTGAGCTTTTAAGCTCAAGAATCATGTTCTGAGATGAGATACTTTAGTTAGCAAGAACAGTCAGTCAGAGGCAGATCTACAGAAGCTCAAAAGTAAGGGTAGTACATCTTGAAACTTTTCCCAAACTACAAGGACTATGATGCATTAAGTCTTTATTTTAGTTTTGTAGGTGGTGGTGTCTATGTGCTGAGGTTTACAGTCTGGTATAGCACTTCTGTCATGGAATCAGTTGAGCTGCATGCAGTCTAGAGACCTACTAAGGTCTGTAGTTCTGTCACAGCAATAATAAAGTCTATTCCTTTTCTATTTTTTTCTTTACAAGTATATGATCAATAATTGCATGCTTATAAATAACAACCTATGTTTTCACATACATCTTTGACTCATTGTAAAATCATTGCTGACTGCATTTTCTAAAAGAAAGTGTCTTCAAAATTCAAACAACCTTGTGAGCGAATTCTAAAGTATATCTGTCCCAATGATTATATCCCGTTAAGGTATAAGGTATATATATATATATAATTTAATAATATAATTAATATTATTATTAATATATATTATTACTTATGACTACAATCTAATATATATTAATATATTATTAGATTGTAGTCATAATATTTTGATTATGACTACAATCTAATAATATTATATAATATTATATATAATAATATATAATTATATATTATTAGATTAATATATATTAATATATATATTAGATTGTAGTCATAAATATTTTGAAATCTTTGTTTGTTTATCCTTCTTGAATGTATGTATGTGTTCCAGTGTGAGTTTCTGTGCACAATATATGTACAGGAGATTGTGAGGGTCACAATATTGCATACAAGCCCCTGAAACTTTAGTTATTTTCAGTACAAGCTTCCACGTGGAAGCTGAGTACAAACACTTGTCCTCTGCAAGTGCTGCAAGCACTTATAACCATTGAGTCTTCCCAGCTGTCACTGAAGTCATGACTTCTACACAACTTGATCTTGCCACTCTCCACAAATGTTGCTGACAAAGACAGACATTGAGCCATTATGTGTTGGGATGGTAAATAATGTATTGTGTGATGCTGAGCGAATGTTGATACAGCAGTTGATGAAAGGGTAATATTTTGTGTTGCCATTTAGCTTACAGGTGAGTGGTGAAGACAACATGAAGATGTGAATTCAAGGTTGTAACATAATGTTGCAATAAAAACACACTAAAGAGATTTTCAGACGATGAAAGCGCTATTATTTCCATGTGTTCAAAGTTTCCAGAGAGTTTTGAGACTGATGTCATTGTAGGATATCAGGTGACTAAAGAGTAGAAATTGTGGGTAAAATTACTAGGAACAGCTAAACATGAGGCAACACTATGTCTTGCAATTTCCAGAGTTTCTGTTTATAGGTACAATATGATTTTTGTATAAAAATAGTTGGAGATAAATGTGGATATAAGATGTAGAGAAAGACAGGTGTCTTAAAGGGTTTTGTATACAGTAGCAATGAATATTGTCACAATACTATAAATAGAACAGTTTGGTAGTGAAAAGAAATAGCCACAATCATTCAAGTGATATTGTGCCATATACAATCCATATAAGCCAACTGGTTATTGATTTGGAGATGGTCAAAGACAAAGTTGAAGCCACAATCATTTTTCACTTTTATTACCAATTGTCTATAATGTAAATAACATTTTAAAAAAGGCATTTATGGTCAATGGAAAGAGTTAGAAGCAATCTCTTGTCATTAAAGTTGATGATCTGAGTTCATCCCTGGATGCCCATTGGAGTGAAATGGTGCCAACTTCTACAAGATATCTTCTCAATACTTTGCACTCTACACACACATATGTACACATATACATAAATTAACAGATTGTAATAAAACAATATTAAGATAAAATAGCTATAAAGGGCATTTATAATAATAAATACAACATGATAAAAAACCTTTATGTTTTTTTAATTTTTAAAAAGATTTATTTATGGGGGCTGGAGAGATGGCTCAGAGATTAAGAGCACTGGCTGTTCTTTCAGAGGTCCTGAGTTCAATTCCCAGCAACCACAAGTGGTTCACAACCGTCTGTAGTGAGATCTGGTGCCTTCTTCTGGTGTGCAGGCAACCATGTTGGCAGAATACTGTATACATAATAAATAAATTTAAAAGAAAGTTTTTTTTTAAAAAAAGATTTATTTATTTATCATGTACACAGTGTTCTGTCTGCTTGCACACCAGAGGAGGGCGCCAAATCTGATTATTGATGATTGTGAGCCACCATGTGTTTCCTAAGAATTGAACTCAGGACCTCTGGCAGAGCAAGCAGGGCTCTTAACCTCTTAGCCATCTCTACAGCCCATTTATTAATATTTTAACTAGGTATATGTAGAGAGTAGTAAGTCCATACAGGGATAGGTCCATGTGAAGGCCACCAGAGCCATCTGATACCCTTTGTACAGGAGTTACAGGTGGTATTATGTCACCTGATGTGGGTTCTGCGAACTTGAGTTAGGCCCCCTGTAAGAGCAGAACATGTTCCTAACAGTTGATTCATCTTTCCAGCCCCTTAAACAACAACAAACAACAAAATCTGTAATCATAGCTAGCCATAAATGCTAGGCTGGTTTTCTTCATGGGATGACTTAAAATCTTAGAAGTAAGTCATTCCTCGCCATTATTATTCACAGTTTAGCATACCTATAATCATATTTCCTATACTTGCTGTGGTGAAAATTGCATCTTATGAGTAGGGTATCACTGCTCAATTCAAATATTCTGTGCTACCACTCTCACTTGAGTGTTCTTGTGCTGTCTTGCTCATGCTGTTTTATCAATAACTCCTTCACCATTGAGTACATTAACAGAACATATGTCTCATACAGATAGATGTGAGGGGAGGAAGAAAGTGCTGTGTGCTCCCAAAGGTGGTGATATAAACTTCTGGATGCTCAGTATTGTACAGAACTTTCTACCTTTTGTAGTAGGGTTATTGCTTCTTGTAAATTGTTGTGTATGAAAAGAAAAATAAAAAAAATAAAAAATTGTTGTGTATGCCCATTCTCTGATTAGGACACAACTAAGGGCATCATGTTTCCTTAATGTTTTACATCATTTTAAAATACCCCTCTCTCCCCATACTATTTCCCACACATCCACCCTAAACTCTCACACTCATGAGCTCTTTCAAACTTTTTCATTTACTACTTTCGCATACATATGCACATGCCTGTGTACACACACAATTTGGTGTTGTTTGACTATTGTTGTGTTTGATACTGACCATATGAGAACAAAAAAGCCATAACGGGGGCTAGGGAGATGGCTCAGAGGTTAAGAGCACTGCCTGTTCTTCCAGAGATCCTGAGTTCAGTTCCTAGCAACCACATTGTATGCCTCACAAATATCTGTAATAAGATCTGTTGTCCCCTTGCAGACAGAACACTGTATACATAATAAATAAATCTTTTAAAAAATAATAAAAAAAGCTATAAGAGAGCTCATCCCTGGAGAAGACCAACTCTATATCTCTCTTGAGAGCATTATTTCTAATTCAGACAGAAAGATTCATGTTATAGTGAATCCATAGGATGTGTGTTTATCCTTGAAGAAGACAGGCAATACAAAACCGAAGCACTGTTGTTCAGAAAAGTCTCAATTACACCTCTAGTGATAAGCAAAGTGAGTGTTGGGCTGGAGTGATGTCTCAGAGGTAAAAACACTGGCTGTCCTTTCAGAGGTCCAGAGTTCAATTCCCAGCAACCACATGGTGGTTTACAACCATTTGTAATGAGTTCTGGCACTCTCTTCTGCCTTGTAGGCATATATGCAGACAGAACACTGTACAAATAATAAATAAGTAAATCTTTAAAAAAGAATGTGGACATTGCAGAACTTATACCTTACACTGACAGTGATGCTGAAGTTGTACTAACAATATTTTTTCTTTTCTCCATCAGCTGTGGATCAGTGTGTCAGGTGTCCAGAGGAGCAGTATGCCAACACAGAGCAGAACCACTGCCTCCAAAAAGATGTGATCTTTCTGTCCTTTGATGACCCCTTGGGATCAGCTCTGTCCTGCATGGCCTTGTGTTTGTCTGTATTCACAGCTCTGATTCTTGGGGTCTTTGTGAAACACCAAGACACTCCCATTGTGAAGGCCAATAACCTCATTCTTAGCTACATTCTGCTCATCTCCCTCATCTTCTGTTTCCTGTCTTCCTTGCTCTTCATTGGCTATCCCAGCTCAGCTACCTGTATCCTGCAGCAAACAACATATGGAGTTGTATTCACTGTGGCTGTTTCCACTGTGTTGGCTAAAACAATTACTGTGGTTTTGGCTTTCAAAGCCACTGCTCCTGGAAGAAGGATGACGTGGCTCCTGGTATCTGGTGCACCTAACTATATCATTCCCATCTGCACCATCATCCAAATTATTCTCTGTGCAATCTGGCTGGGAGCTTCTCTGCCCTCTGTTGACATTGATGCACACTCTGAGCATGGCCAAATCATCATTGTGTGTAATAAGGGCTCAGTTACTGCATTCTACTGTGTCTTAGGATACCTGGGCTTCCTTGCCTTAGGGAGCTTCACTGTGGCTTTCTCGGCAAGAAATCTCCCTGACACATTTAATGAAGCTAAGTTTTTGACATTCAGTATGCTGTTGTTCTGTAGTGTCTGGGTCACTTTTCTCCCTGTCTACCACAGCACAAAGGGAAAGATCATGGTGGCTGTGGAGGTCTTCTCCATCTTAGCCTCCAGTGCAGGTCTACTGGGATGCATCTTTGTTCCTAAGTGCTACATAATTTTGTTAAGACCAGAGAGAAATTCTCTTCAAAAGTTAAGGGAGAAGACATCTTCTGGGACTCATGTTTTATAATTTTTAACTGAGAAATATAATGCTGGTAGAGAACCACCTACTAGGACACAAGATTTGTATGCATTAGGCAGTCACTTTCTAAGTAGTTACTTCTAATGATGTTCATCAGTGTCATGTATAATACTTTTCTCTACATTGTCTTTTAAAATACTCCACTCAGACACTTATTTTATAAGACTTGGCCATTGGCCATTATTTCAGAGTGTAAAGGTTCTTTCCTTCTCTAATATAGAGTAAGACTGAAATAAACTCAGAGGCTTATTTTTGATATCTTAGTGAATGTAGGACTGTGACAGCAATGGAGTATTGAGAGAAAATTCATAAAGCTTGTCAACTCATGTTTTCAGATGAAGACAAAACAGTGCTACCCCTTGTAAGGAAAAGACTAGAGAATCCTGATGCATCCAGAGAGTTATAGTATTAGAACTTAGGGGAGAGAGAGCGATAGTTTGATAAGCAAAATATTGTAGAAAGTGGAGAGATGTCTCAGCAGACAAAGACCACATACTGCTCTTGCAAAGTGCCTTGCAAAATACACAGCCTTCATAAAATATTGTTCACACCCACCTGTAACAATAGTTCCAAGGGATCAATGTCTCTGTTCACCCTCAAGAAACCTACACACACATGCACATAATGATATACTCAAAACACAAACACACAGATAAAATTAAATGAAATCTCTTTTAATAAAAGATTTTTACAAAGACTCTGCAATGAGACACTTTCATTGAAACAGAATATCCCCCCACACACAATATACTGTGATTTTAGTTTCTCATCTCTCTAATACTCCAAGTTCCTTCCCACCTTCTTTCCCATCTGAATTCTGGCACACTTTGTCTCTCATTATAATACAAATATATTTCTATGGGATAAAATAAAACAAAATATACTAAGTTATAACAAAAGTAACACATTAGAATTGAGAAAAATAAACAGAAGGAAATGAGCCCAAGAGAAGTCAAATGGATCAGAGACTCACTTGGTTGCACAGTCAGGAATCCCATCAAAACACTGAACTGGAAGCTATAATACCTACTGAAAGAACCCATAGGGGAAAGTAAGAGAAGAAAACAAAACAATAAAATAAAATAATAAGATAAGACAAAACAAAATAAAGCAAAACAACAAAGAAACAAAGAATAAAAAAAACACTCTGACATGATATTTTGAGATAAGAAAATCCAGCGATGCCATTGATCTCATTTTATGCTGGCCATCAACTATTGGGCTTTCAGACTTGGCTTTCTCAGTGAGGATACCTTGAAGGAAAGTAAATTTTCAATAACAGCTGATTATTAATTGGAGATTTCTTCTGCATTGGGGAATGTGGCATGTGTCCAATTATCCTTTCAGCTCTGGTATCCTGCACAGCACAGCTTTGTGTCAAATTGAGATAAGGTAATGTCATCTGAGAGGACAGAGCCTCAATTAAGAAAATGCCTCCTTTAATCCCAACACTCACAAGACATAGGCAAAAAGATCTCTGTGAGTTTGAGGTCAGGCTGGTCTACAGAGCTAGTTCCAGAATGGGCAAGGCTATGTAAAGACTCCCTGTCTCATCCCCCTACCCCCACAAAAGAAAACGCCTTCATAAGATCCAAATATAGGGCATTTTCTTAATTAGTATTTGATTGGGATCATCCAGCCCATTGTCGGTAGTACCATTCTTAGACTGGTGGTCATGGGTCCTATAAGAAAGCACGCTGACACAAATAACATAAAATATCTTGGAGTTATTCTAATCACACAAGTGGAACCTGTATGACAAGAAATTTAAATCTTTGAAGAAAGAAATTGATGAAGACACCAGAAAATGGAAAGATCTTCCATGTTATTGGGTAGGTAGAATTAATATAGTAAAAATGGAAATCTTACCAAAGGCAATCTACAGATTCAATACAATGCCCATCAAAATTCCAGGAAAATTCTTCACAGACCTCAAAAGAACAACACTCAACTTCATTTGGGAGGACAAAAAATCCAGGATAGCCAAAACAATCCTGTACAATAAAAGAACTTCACAAGACATTACAATCTCTGATTTCAAACTCTACTACAGAACTATAGTATTTAAAACAGCCTGGTTTTGGCATAAAAACATACAGGAGGACCAATGAAACTGAATTAAAGGCCCAGATACCAACCCATACACCTACAGACATCTGTTTTTAGGCAAAGAAGTAAAAAATATAAGAATAGAAAATGCTAAATAGAAAGCATATTCAACATGTAGAAGAATAAAAATAGATCCATATCTATTGCCATGCAGAAAACTCAAGTCTAACTGGATCAAAGACCTCAACATGAAACTAAGCACACTGAACCTCATAGAAAAGAGTGGGAGTATATTTGAATGCATTGGCACAAGAGACCACTTCCTAAATATAACCCCAGTATCACAGACACTGAGAGAAATAATTAATAATTGGGACCTCCTGAAACTGAGAAGCTTCTGTAAAGCAAAGAACACAGTCAACAAGACAAAACAGCAGCCTACAGAATGGGAAAAAACTTCAATCCCACATCAGACTTAAAGCTGACCTCCATTATATTTTTAAAAACTTAAGACATTGGTCATCAAAGGAACAAATAATTCAATAAAAATGAGGTACAGATCTAAAGAGAGAACTCTCAACAGAGGAACCTAAAATGGCTGAAAGACACGTAAGGAAATGCTCAACATCCTTAGCCATTACAGAAATCAAATCAAAACAACTCTGAGAGTCTATCTTCCACCTGTAAGAATGGCCAAGATCAAAAACACTGATGACAACTGATGCTGGAGAGGATATGGGGTAAAGGGAACACTCCTTCATTGTTGGTCAGAGTGCAAACTGGCTCAGCCCCTTTGGAAATCAGTATGACGATTTCTCAGAAAATGAGGAAACAACCAATCTCAAGACACAGCAATATTACTTTTGGGTATGTACCCAAAGGATGCTCAATTGTACCCTAAGGACATATGCTCAACTATTTTCATAGCAGCACTTTTTGTCATAGTTAGAACTTGGAAATAATATAAATGCCCCTCAGTTGAGAAATGGATAAGGAAAATGTGCTACATTTACAAAATGGAGTAGTAGACAGCAGAAAAAAAATATTTTTAAATTTGTGAGGAAATGGATGTATCTAGAAAACATCATATTGAGTATGGTAGCCCAGACCCAGAAAGACAAATATCATATGTACTCACTCATAAGTAGTTTTTAGACATAAAGAAAAACAAACAAACAAGCAAATAAACAAACAGAAGCCAGCCTTCAATTTACAATTCTAGAGAACCTAGACAGCAAAGATGACCCCAAGAGAGGCATACATGGCACTAATGGAAATGGGAAGTGAAAAGATAAGATCTATTCCATAATTTGGGAGCATGGTTACCATGGAACAGGGTAAAAGGGAAGGAGAGAGGAAAGAAGGGGAGCAGAGAAAAAATATATAGCTCAATAAAAACAATAAAAAAATCCATCTGTTAAAAAATAGAAAGAAGGCTGAGCAAGCCAGTATGCAACACTTCTTCATGGCCTCTGTCTCAGCTTCTACTTTCAAGTCTCTTCCCTGTTTGAATTTCTGTTGTAAGGAGACCTCTTGTTTGTTTCCCAGCCACTCAGCTCCGAAATAATCACATAGAAATTGTATCAATTAAATCACTGCTTGGCCCATTAGCTCTAGCTTCTTATTTGCTAACTCTTACATCTTAATTTTACCCATCTCCATTAATTTGTGTATAGCCATGTGGCTGAGGCTTATCAGATAAAGTTCCACCCAGCTCCAGTCAGGCTATATGGCTTCTCACTGACTCTGCCCTTCTTTCTCCCAGCATTCCATTTAGTTTTCCCCACCTAGCTTGTTCCTCTACAGCTATGCTATAGACCCAAAGCAGTTCCTTTATTAACCAATGATATTCACAGCATATAGGGGAATCCCATATCACCTCCCCTTTTCAGTTTAAATCAAAAGGAAGGCTTTATCATAAACATAGTAAAATTACATACAACAAAACAGGCATGAAGTGAAGGAACAGGGAACTGTGGTTGGTTGATGGGCGAGGGCACATGTTAGTTCCTGGCTGTTTGGCAGCTCAAGCCCAAAATAATCATACAGAAATTGTATTAATTAAATCACGGCTTGGCCCATAAGCTATAGCTTCTTATTGGCTAACTCTTACATCTTAATTTAATCCATATCCATTAATATATGTATCACCATGTGGCTGTGGCTTACCAACTAAAGTTCTAGCATCTGTCTCCAGAGGGGCTACAGGGCTTCTCACTAACTCTACCCTTCTTTCTTCCATTTAGTTTTCTCTATCTAGCTTTGTTCCTCAATAGCTCTGCTATAGGCCCAAAGCAGTTCCTTTATTAACCAATGATATTCACAGCATACATAGAGGACTCTCACATCAAGTTCCTGCTCTGGCTTCCTTCAAGAATGGACTAAAATGTGGAAGTGTATGCAAAATAAACCATTTCTTCTCCAACTTGGTTTTTGATTATGGTGTTTTATTACAATAAAAACCCTAAGTAAGATAAGTTGGTACCAGGAGTGGGGTATTGTGACAGACCTGACCATGACGTTTTGTGGGAGGGTGATATAGGGCCTTTGAAACATTGCACAAGTAAAGCCATTGATTGTTTAACACTGAGTGAGCTGTTCTGTAGGAGCTTGGAATATAAGAATCTTAAGGGCAATATAGAAGATGGAGGGCTGACTTGAGAAGTTCTGGAGAAATGTTTAAAGGTCATTTGTTATTTTGAATTAAGATTCCATGGTCATGATTAGTTGGTGCTGGATAATCAGCAGTGGTTATCAAGAAACCTGAACTACAAAAGAGAAACTTTTGTTTTACTGGGATACTCAGTGCTGGTCAACTGGAGCTGAGAAAATAGTAGTGATTAAGAAAAGCCCAGCATTACTGAGGTGAAATGTTCTGAGAAGTGTTTCCCAAGAGTATATAGAAGCTGTTTTCCAGAGGCAGACAAGATTGCACCTTA